GGATTGCATATGGCACACTGCCTGAACGTATTTAATGACGCCTAAAAGTACGTTTCACTGGTGAATAATGAACGTCACTATCACTAGACGAATCCTCAATTGGCATAAAATCAATCTCATCATCACTTACATCACTTTCACTATCACTACTAAAACACCGGGAAAATGATAGTTTCCTCTTGCGAAGTTGCCTATGGGTAACACTTGCCACTCCAGAGGTGCTTGGCCCAGGGTCTTCTGTGGCCACACTGGCCACCCCAGAAGTGCTTGGCCTAGGGTCTGATGTGGCCACACTGGCTACCCCAGAGGTGCTTGGCCCTAGGACAGGTGTCGCTACCCCAGAGATGATGGGCTGGGGGTCATCTGGGTTATCGTCGATATTTTAACTAATTCCTTGAATATTACTGGCCCCATTGGTGTCAAATCCACTAAACTCACGATCTCTATCACTTTCCTCGAATAGTAGTGTTAATACGACGAGGCGTGAGTGAATCACGAGGATGTGCCATGATGCTGACCCAGGATGGAGCTGAATGTAACTGGTCCTACCATGTGGTACCCAGGCGTCCCAGATTTTTTGTATACTGCGCACACCCATTCTCTCATGTCTAGGCGAATCAGGCCTATCGCTCTAATTTTGAACGAATGAAAAATAAAACGTATATATACGTTTGGGGCGCTATGCGAGTGAACGTATATATACGTTTGGACCGTTTAAGGGTTAATAAATGTATGGAAGAGGGTAAGTTACCTAGGGATTGGCAGAGAGCATGCATAGTTCCTCTGTATAAAGGCAAAGGGGACAAAAGAGAGTGCAAAAATTATAGGGGGATAAGTCTGTTGAGTATACCTGGTAAAGTGTATGGTAGAGTTATTATTGAAAGAATTAAGAGTAAGACGGAGAATAGGATAGCAGATGAACAAGGAGGCTTTAGGAAAGGTAGGGGGTGTGTGGACCAGGTGTTTACAGTGAAACATTTAAGTGAACAGTATTTAGATAAGGCTAAAGAGGTTTTTGTGGCATTTATGGATTTGGAAAAGGCGTATGACAGGGTTGATAGGGGGGGGGCAATGTGGAAGATGTTGTAGGTGTATGGTATAGGAGGTAGGTTACTGAAAGCAGTGAAGAGTTTTTACGAGGATAGTGAGACTCAAGTTAGAGTATGTAGGAAAGAGGGAGATTATTTCCCAGTAAAAGTAGGCCTTGGACGAGGATGTGTGATGTCACCGTGGTTGTTTAATATATTTATAGATGGGGTAGTAAGAGAGGTAAATGCAAGGGTCTTGGCAAGAGCCATGGAGTTAAAAGATAAAGAATCACACATAAAGTGAGAGTTGTCACAGTTGCTCTTTGCTGATGACACTGTGCTCTTGGGAGATTCTGTAGAGAAGTTGCAGAGGTTGGTAGATGAATTTGGTAGGGTATGTAAAAGAAGAAAATTAAAAGTGAATACAGGAAAGAGTAAGGTTATGAAGATAACAAAAAGGTTAGGTGATGAAAGATTGGATATCAGATTGGAGGGAGAGAGTATGGAGGAGGTGAATGTATTCAGATATTTGGGAGTGGATGTGTCAGTGGATAGGTCTTTGAAAGATGAGGTGAATCATAGAATTGATGAGGGGAAAAGGGCGAGTGGTGCACTTAGGAGTCTGTGGAGACAAAGAACTTTGTCCTTGGAGGCAAAGAGGGGAATGTATGAGAGTATAGTTTTACCAACACTCTTATATGGGTGTGAAGCATGGGTGATGAATGTTGCAGCGAGGAGAAGGCTGGAGGCAGTGGAGATGTCATGTTTGAGGGCAATGTGTGGTGTGAATATAATGCAGAGAATTCGTAGCTTGGAAGTTAGGAGGAGGTGCGGGATTGCCAAAACTGTTGTCCAGAGGGCTGAGGAAGGGTTGTTGAGGTGGTTCGGACATGTAGAGAGAATGGAGCGAAACAGAGTGACTTCAAGAGTGTATCAGTCTGTAGTGGAAGGAAGGCTGGGTAGGGGTCGGCCTAGGAAAGGTTGGAGGGAGGGGGTAAAGGAGGTTTTGTATGCGAGGGGCTTGGACTTCCAGCGGGCATGTGCGAGTGTGTTTGATAGAAGTGAATGGAGACAAATGGTTTTTAATACTTGACATGCTGTTGGAGTGTGAGCAAAGTAACATTTATGAAGGAATTCAGGGAAACCGGCAGGCCGGACTTGAGTCCTGGAGATGGGAAGGAGGGGTGTTAATGTTGCAGTTTAAAAAACTGTAGTGTAAAGCACCCTTCTGGCAAGACAGTGATGGAGTGAATGATGGTGAAAGTTTTTCTTTTTTGGGCGACCCTGCCTTGGTGGGAATCGGCCAGTGTGCTAATAAAAAAATAAAAAAAATAATAAAAACTGACATATGGAGAGGTATTGAAAGGTGGGCGGCGGGGAGGGTTAAAAAAAAAAAAAGTGATTGCAACTGTTACAGAAAATGTTACGTGCTATGCCCCTGAAGGGTAGCTATAGAAGATTCACTTTCATTCGGTTTGGAAACAGAGCTGCAAATGTTCCACTTAACATATTGCTAAATGGATCACCCATCACAAGACTCGGAGAAAATTCCTAGGAATCCACCTTGACAGTAGCCTCGGATTCCAGACACACATACAACAAATTTCTAAGAAAATCTCCAAGACTATCAAAGATATGGTACTATGTTCCACAGTCAGCTGTCCTTGCACTGTATCATTCACTCATCTACCCTTATCTCGTGTATGGAATTTGTGCATGGGGATCAACAACATTAAATTGCCCAAGACAACTAATAACCCAGCAAAAGGCTGCAGAATGATAACAAATTCCCACTCCCGAGAGCATACTCCACCAATATTCAAAAGTCTAAAACTGCCCACCGTTAAGAACGTCCATACTTATTCATGTGCCTACTACATATATAAAACACTACACTCAAACATACACCTCCACTCAAACTTCTCCTCACCAACCTTAACAGGACACACAACCACAACACAAGACACAGATCACTTTTTGATGTACCCCATGTCCATATCTCACTGTGTAAAAGCTCTATGCACATAAAAAGCCCCAAAATTTGGAATTCATTACCAGTAAATACAAAAGTAACCAGGTCTGAACACCAATTTAAGGCTCTTCTCAAAAGCCACCTACTCACCCACTTGTAGCATTCTCATACTGTAAACTACTTTCCACAACTCGCAATGTTATATTCCCATGATATAATTTCAATATTTATTATTGAAACTATTGTAACTAGAGTAAAATTACTGTCAACTATAAATAAAAAAAGAAGTACAACTTAAACTATGATCAATTTCTTTAGTATTAAGTAGTTTGTAAGCCATTAAATTAATCCTTTCAGGGTTTCTGACGTACTAGTACGGCTTACGCACCAGGGTTATTGACGTACTAGAACGCTTAAATTCTAGAGCCTTCAAATCTAGTGAGAGAAAGCTGGTAGGCCTACATATGAAAGAATGAGTCTGTGGTCAGTGTGCACGGTATAAAAAAAATCCTGCAGCACACAGTGCATAATGAGAAAAAAAAAAACTCCGACCGTGTTTTTGGTTTAAAATGCGACTTTGCAGTGTATTTTCGTATGGTATTTATGGTTGTATTCTGGTTTTCCTGGTCTCATTTTATAGAATGTAAGATATATTACAGAAATTGAGATGATTTTGATTGGTTTCATAATGAAAAGTACCTTGAAATTGAGCTCAAAGTAGCAGAAAGGTTTGATTTTTACCAAATTTCAAAAGTAAACAAATTATGCCAAGCGTCCCATATACGTCAACTGGTGAGTCTAACATTCTTTCACAAGTACACTGATATTATTTATACCATTTCTACACTAATGCAGTAGTCTGCATAACAGTAAATCTTCTATTTTTTGTGAGAATAAAAATTCAAAGTGGAAAGCAAGAGAGATTTACGAGGGGCCTGGGGACGTGACTAATGAACAGAGAAAATGTTATTTTAGTGCCAGGAATGTCTGTCTTGTTTATTCTGGACCATGTTTGGAAATTGGCATCTGAAATTTGTGAAATTGGCAAAATGGCCAATTTCTGACCACTTTATTGGGTACTTGAAATCAGTAAATGGGTGGTTTCTTGTACTCATTTGATAGAAAAAATGGAGTTCTAGCGAAATAGATATGATTTTTGTCGACTTGTACACTGAAATTGGCTGAAAATAGGGCTCCAAGTCGAGACCGCTAACTTCGAGAGAGCATGATTTCGTAAGTTTTCCATCAAATTTCATACTTTTCGTGTCATTATGATCGAGAAAAGATTCTCTATCATTTAATAAGATTTTTTTTTTTTCCGAAAAATTTTCGACCCTGAGAACAAGTTTAGGAGAGGGCCTCTCGACCCTGAAAGGGTTAAGTTTGCCCATAATGCTTAGGCATGATAGTGACTCTCTTTGCACTGCAACTTATTATTGTAATTTCGTAATCTCAGTGTAATCTTGCAAAGAAATAAATTTTGTTGTTACTTATCCTATGCAAAGACTGAAAAAAAGTGTGATTTTCTAAAAAAAAAAAAAAAAAAATCCTAAGTAATCAGCTGTGTGTGCATTTCCTAGAATATCTTGGAAGTAAGTTATTGACCTATTTCAGGTTGTATTACCGTTAATGAATGGATTGAAAGGATTTTCACAACAGACATAAAACTGAATGTTTTAATTTCGAGTTTACATTTTTCAAGTGTCGGTAAGGGGTGGTTCCTTGATTAGCGACAAATTTGTTTACCAACATGATCTTAGAAACGGAACTCCATTGGTAAGTGAAGAGAAGCTGTAATGGTATTTGCAAAAATTTTGGTAGTATCCCATCCCTAATTATAACTGTGTAATTGTTTCAGTTTTAAGGATCTTGTTGCAGCCCCTCTGTGCTCAGATGTATGAATGGCATTTATATTAAGAAGGTTTAGTTAGTATTTTATAGAAATATTGATGTGAGTTGTGAGTTTTGTGTTTGAATCTCCAAACATATTATGTTATTAGGATCCGTGCTAGAGAGCATATTGAGTGCAGAAGCTTGCAAGAATGGCCTTCCAACTATTGCTGGACTCCTTACTCACCCTTTCTTCAATCAAGTGAGTAGTATGACTGATTTTTTTTTAAGTTAATGATCACTCTGCAGAAGTACATCAGTCAACTTTCAAACCCACTTAATTTCATAAGATATTGCATAACATACTGTATTTTCCTAGAGTTAACATCTCTTCACTCCTTTCCCTGCTCATCCTACTTGGGCACACCCATGTATTCTTAACACAAATGCAAATAAATACTATTACTAACAAGGCAAAGGAGGTGTGGGTGGTGGGTCAGACTTGCCACCTAGTCTGTGCTGTTTAAGTTAAACTGTGTTTGTTTTTGCCCTAGTGCAGTATGAATTACTGAATGGCTTAGAAGGGTATGGAAAGTAATAATGTGAAGGGTAAATAGGTTAGATTAAATACAATAATGGCTATTTTACAGTCAAGTAGAAATTTGCTAAAGAAGTTAAACACATTAATATTTTATTTAAAATAGTCTTCCAAAAATATTAATTTTAAGTTGTTGTAATTTAGATATGTTTCTGAATTTATTGTGTTATCGCTTTCTTGGAAGGTTATTAAATTTTTCTTATTCTGCTTAGACGCCACTTCACAGTCATGAGAAACCTAGCTTGCGCCTCCCCTCTTCCGTCAAGCAGGCAATAGCAGTCAGCACAAGAGGCCATGTTAGAAAGACTTGCAGCTGATCAAAAGAAGGTAAAAATGAACATTTATATTTCTCTACTGTTATTTAATATAAAAATAATGTTTATAAGTCTTGTGTGATCTTATCAATAAAGGTGTTCTATCAATCTCTCATTATATATAATTTATTTTAAAGTTTAAGTAGCAGCAGTACAAAAAAAAAGTACATTATTCCTCTACAGAGTGACACATTTCAGAGAGAAGTGATTCTAAGAGATAGTTACACAGAGAAATTCAATGGTCCATTGACTCCAGTGATATAATCATAGGTGTGTTCCAGGAAAAAAAAATTATAGATGTTTTCCAGGGTAAAAAAAGCTTATAACAGTCCATTTCTAAAGAAAGTACAGTGGTCCCTTGAGTTATGATTTACCTCGTACAGGAATTTTGTTTTGAGCGAGATGAACAATTTGAGGTACAATATGTGTACGATAGTGCGGGATCTCGTGGCTTGATAGCATCCTCGGCTCACACACTGAGGTCCAGGGATTAATCCCGGCACAGGTGAAACATTTAGCATGTTTCCTTACACCTGCTGTCCCTGTTCACCTAGCAGTAAGTAGGTACCTGGGTGTTAGACTACTGATGTGGGTTGCATCCTGGGGAACGAGATTAATCTAAGTTGCCCAAAATGCTCTGCATAATCAGGGACTTTCTATATACAGTAGTATGCCAATGATGTCAGAGTGGGTGGGCCTCAGCCAACCAGCGATGTGGTAGCTTATCCCTTCAGCAGTGTCTGAGCTAGTAGGAATGGAGGTGTGTGAGGGTGGCTTAGCAACCAATCAGCAATGGAGTTGAATGCCACTGTGGTAGCATCTCAGCCAATAGCAGAGTTTGTACTACAGTTTGTTTCCTCTTCAATTTGAATCTACCACATGTTGCCCACACCAACTCGGGATTATTTACCCTTCATAACTGCATTTGTGCTTTAATTACACAATCTTTTGAATTACCAAGTCATCATTGCCCCTAAAGTGAGCAGTAAACAGGCAGTTTCTCAGACGATCAAGCAAGAAATTGTAAAAAACACAATGGAGCTAGAATTTATCCATTGGTGCTTGAGTATGGCTTTTCACAATTAGCTATCTCTACTATTATTAAGCAGAAAGAAATAATAAAGAATGTTAAAGTGAATGACAAATCTAAGCTAGTGGAAGAGGCAGAGAAATTATTACAGAGATAGTAAGACTGTTGTTATTGTGGATAAAAGAAGAGATGAAGGGATATACAGTGCCTGCAAATTATATATACGTACATATCTGTGAGTGTGCAACTCTAAGCTACAGTAGAAGTTGTACTTCAAAAAGTCTTGGAACGAATTACCATAAAACCATATTTTTGAGTTCGAGTTAAAATAGTTTATTGGTATGATACATCTTCTGGAGCGGACTAATATCATATTTTGAGGATCCGCTGTATTAAATAAACACTAACCGCATGTGAACTTGGAATGAGTATATGTACAATGATTGATTTTGTTGATGGCTAAAGGGGTGTGGTGGAGCTGGTTATTATTGTAGAAGGTAAAGTATGTAGAGGGGCAAAAGGACTTACTGGTAGGTAATACATTAAATGGTATACATTGTCTTGTATGGTATTTGCACCTTGTTTCTTGCCAGATTTAACCCATTGTAAAATGGCATCTTTTGTATCTAGAAAATTGCTCTTAGACTTCACAACACTGCATTCTTACCACTTTATAACCTTTTGAAACCTGCTTTGCCTGGGATGCCTTGCCTTTTCACATATTATTGACTGAGACACACTATCTCCTAATAATTGTTTTTCATTTATCCACTCCAACAACAGTTTCTCCACCTCTTCAATTATTTGCGATCTCTGTTTTGAAAATATACTTGCACCTTTCGCAGCAACAGTTTTCTTGATTGCCTTTCTGTTCGCCAATATAGTAGCGATGGTTGAATGGGGTTTGTTATATAGCCTTTCCAACTCGGACATATGCACTCCACTTTCATATTTTTCAATGATCTCTTTCTTCATTTCCATTGTAATTCTCACCCTTTTTACCACAGACTTGGCACTAGAAGCTTTTTTTGGGGCCCATGGTGGCTTATTTAGCAGTTACAAGCTCTAAAAACATGACCACCTGTATGAATAAAAATTCAAAATGGAAGAAAATGTAATTATGGAGGCTGGGACAAAACTAAAAAAGAAAATGTTTGTGCAAAAATGTCTGTAGTTCTTTCTGGACCCTATTTTTAAATTGGAGTTTTTTAAATTTTTGTGGATTGGCCAAATTATTTTTTCTGAAAAACTTTTTTGGGGTTTTTGAAATACAGGGGACCCAAACCCAACGTATTAATCTTTCCCTGAGAGCTCATCGAATCGAAATTATTGTTAGTCAAGTAATTTTCCCCATAAAAAATAAGGGAAAATTAAAAATTAATCCGGCAAGACACCCAAAAGTATTGAAAAAAAAAAAAATTTCCCACATGAAAAATTAAAATTTTTTTTAAACACCAAAATAAAGAAGACATGTACTTACTGCATTTACTTTTTTGAAATCGGGTGATTGAGGGATGGGAGGGGGGGAGAGTTTGGTGGTGAAAATGTTAAAAGGGGGAACCCCTTTTCCATTGGGACTTGAGGTGTCAAGTCCTTTCTGGGTTACTTCCTTCTTTTTTTTAATGCCACTAGGACCAGCTTGAGATCCTGGGACCTCTGTCGCACAACTATCTGCCCATAGAGCCTGTACCCCCCGTTCTTTATGATTTTCCTAAATGTTTCACAACATTGCAGTGTCACAATTAACATTTGTCAGGTTTAAATTTTTTCACTGTCTTATGTACTCTTGAATTCCTGCAAAATTTTTCACTGCTTTTTGGTCCGAACTGGCAGCCTCCCCATGCCTTTCCATTGTATCCCACTCGATTTTTTAAATCTAAAACCAACCCTTTGCTGACCTTAATTCACTCAATCCCCATATTTTAGGCATTTTTCTAATTAAATCGTCATGCAATTCCTAGCCTTTACATGGATTGTTTGAGAGGAGAGAGCTTCCCCTGCTTTTTTTTCGTTTTTTTTTTTTTTTTTTTAATTTACACTGGCGTTCCCACCAAAGGGAGGGGGGCCCCGAAAAAGAAAAACTTTCCCCATCTTTCACCCATACTGTCTTGCCAAAAGGGGCTTTACACTACTTTTTTAAACTGAACATTAACCCCCCAAATAACATCTCTCAACTTTTCTATCATTGCGATCTCAGTTTCAAAAAAAAAGTTGCACCTTTGGCAAAAACCCTTCCCTGATTGCCGTTTTTTTGGCCCACAAAGTAGAAATTTGTTGTTGGGGTTTTGTGTAAAACCCGGGCCCCTGGAGAAAACGCGCTCCCTTTTACTTGTGTGATCTTTTTTTTCATTCCATAAAAATTCTCCCCCTTTTTGGTAGGGTTTTGGGCCCAGAAGCTTTCTTGGGGCCCCTGGGGACTTATTTTTCAGGTGCAAACATAAAAAGGCTGTGATAATATGAAATGTTCCCATTGAGTTTGGATGGGACCGTGGTGGCTGGGTGGGTTGTAAAACTGGCCCAAAAAGGATCGTTCGAACGGAATGAATTTGTTGGGCGGGGTTTTTTTTTGCGTTTTGTCGAGGGAAAATTTTTTTCTTAAAATGTATTTCAGTCGGATATAACGTTAGGATGCCTCGTTGGTCGGGCCCCCCCGATTAAATGGGGGTTTTCTTGTGCTTGTCATAAGGGGGAGGCAACTAGCAAAATAGTAAGGATTTGGTTGACTGGAACATTCTTGGATCCTGTGAGCATGTTTCAGATCAAGGATTGGGTCCCCAAAAGGGTTTAAAAATGTAACCATTTTTTTTTTTTTTTTAAAGTTCTCTGTCAAGAGCAGTAAGTAAACCTCCATTTTAACTAAAGGGAAAGGAGTGTACGTTTAAAAGCCAGTTTTGTACAACTCCCCAAATTTTGAAATTTAAAATTTGTGTCATCCATTTGTCTTTAAGAGTGGAATTGGTCCCTTGTGCAGAAGACAATCAAATTCTAAAAAAACAGATTTGAAAAATTTGTGTACTAGGGTACAGTGCTGTATAATGGTAATTTTTTTGTATTCTAATAATTTACAGTAATTTTACTCATGACTCACAAATTTAATATGATTGCAAACAAATTACAAAAAAGGTTGGGGGCTTGAACCCTGCAGGTGGGAATTTTAAAATCTCATACTAGTGTCTAACCCCCGGGGTCGTGACTTAATAAGATTCATCCAATAGGTAACTATTTTTATACATTAGGGGGTTGATAGGGCCCCCAGTGATACAAATAAGGTTTTTACAGCCGCTGGCCCGTGAGTTTTAGGACTCGTCTGCCCTGGGTTCGAGGCCCCCCTTTTATGTTTGTTTCCCAAACATGTTATTCAGTTTTCTTTGTCATGATGGACTTTAAATGGGACTTGAGCTAAACAAAACACAGTACATTGTGGGGGTTTGTTTGCCCTTTTAACCCCCCTGCAGTGTATAAAAATTAACCCAGTTTGGGTGAAAATTACGACATTGTCAGCACTTAATTTTTGGGGTCATGACGTGAAAGGATTAAATGTTGCCCCAAAAAGGGGCTGGGGCACCAAGTCATGTTTGAGATCAGATGTGGTTTAATTTATGCGAGAATAAGGGATGAAATGAAAAAGGGGTTGGCAGTGGTGTACCCTTTACTTTTTTTTTTTTTCCCTTTTTTCTTTTCAGGTGCGAAGCAAAGAAAGTTATTTCCAAAGGGGAGGCTTTTGTTACCAGCAGTCCATCAAAAGGTAGATAAAAAAAGGGATGATGAAGTATAGTAATTGGAAAAACAGAAGGTTATGGGTTAAAAAATTTTTTGTGAGGGTCACAATATACATAAGTTGAGCTGTTTAAATTTTATTCTTTCCTAAAATGCCTAGGGATTTAAGGGCTCTTGCATGCAACTCATTATTGTAATTTCATAATACTGTACACATTTTTTTTTTACACCTCATCTGATTTTCTTTTTTTTATCTTAAATGTTCTTGGTCTTTTAATTTTTTCCTTTTAAATCCCCGGGGAAATGGAAAAAGAAACTTTCCCCCTAAGCCCGCGTGTTGTAAAAGTAAC